ATGTATTCCCATGTATTCCCACGTATTCCCACGTATTTCCATGTTATTTCCATGTATTCCCATGTATTCCCTCGTATTTCCATGTTATTTGCATGTATTCTCACGTATTCCCGTGTATTTCCGTGTATTCCCACGTATTCCCACGGCCCATGTATTTCCATGTATTCTTATGTATTCCTATGTATTCTTATGTATTCCCATGTAGTCCCATGTATTCCCATGTATTCCTATGTATTCCCATGTATTCTCATGTATTCTCACGTATTCTCATGTATTTCCGTGTATTCCCACGTATTCTCATGTATTCGCATGTATTCTTATGTATTCCTATTTATTACCATGTATTCTTATGTATTCCCATGTATTCCTATGTATCCCATGTATTCCCACGTATTCCCATGAAATTGTCATGCTTTCCCGTGTGTTCTCATGTTTTCCTGCGTATTCTCATGCATTTCCATGTATTCCCATGTATTGTATTCCCACGGCACATCTTCCCACGTATTTAGAATCATTAATTTAGTGCATTGCTGTGTATTCCCATACTGCTTTGTATTCCCGCATAGTCTTTTATGTTCCTACTGGTGCTTATGTATTTGCATACTTTGGTGCTTTAATCATTCCGGTATTTAAATATGCTGCCTAAAAATTTAAGGTTCTTTATTTAGTTCTTAATATATGGCTGTTTCTAACAAGGACTGGGAATCACCGAATTCACGAATTTGATTGGCTGTAATCAATATTGAACGCTATCTAGATTTTCCCATCTAGACCGGCATCTAGCCAAACAGGAACAAGCCAGTTTTTTTGTATTCTTTGTTTGTAACTTTTTGAAGCTAGGCAACTTTTACAATAAGATCGGTCTAGATGCCGGTCTAGATAGGAAAAGCTAGTAAGGATGGGCCGATACCGACACCAAATATTCGATACCAGCGATACCGAGGTGGGATCGAACAATATCGATACAAGCGAAGAGTATCGATTGTTTCGATACTGCACGTGACCTAGCTACCCACTTTAGTCTCCCGCGGCTAACCGCTGCCGAGTGGCCGAAAAGACTCCTGGCTGGAGATCGTGTATGTGAGCATTTGTGTGCCGTGTAGGATTGCCAATGTGTACCGGTGTGGCGGTTTCTTCCATTCCTTAGTACAACAGTTCACTGTGAAATAGGACCTGATTTTATTAACTACTACATGGGAATACATAAGAATACATGGGAATACGTGAGAATACATGGGAATACATAGGAATACATGGGAATACGTGGGAATACATGGGAATACATAAGAATACATGGGAATACATGGAAATACGTAGGAATACGTGGGAATAAATGGGAATAACATGGAAATACGTGGGAATTCATGGGAATACGTGGGAATACACGGGAATACATGGTAATACG